TGGTTGCCCTAAGTAAAAACTGTTTTGGGGGGGGGGTTTTTTTTTTTATTGTTTTTTGGATCTTTTGGGTTTAAACGCTTGTGATTGGTGAAGTAGTATTGAGTCACTCGAGATGAAAAAAAATTCTTTTAAATCGTCACGTTCGCGAACAGCGTGAGTCCTCAATGTAGGTCGACAAGAGGAAGCGGCTCTCTCCGCAGCGTGATTGGTTAAAATATTTTTGTAGTAGTGGTGTGCGTAAGTGATGCGTCGATTGATTCATTTATGTCTTTTGTGGTGTTTTGTTTGTTCTATAGGCCAGACAAATCACACAATCAACAACGCAGTTCTTGTATTGCAAACGCTCTCCAAGGAACGGACGTCGCGCAGTCTTTAAACTAGACGATGTCGTTCGGGGTGTCATTACGAATCCTCCTCCCCCACACGACATACGGATCCGGTCAGCAGTTTCTCAACCGTTGTCGTGTTTCCCTTCCATTATAACATATTTGAAGAGCTCAATAAACGCCTCCTAAGTTTTCCAACGCCTAGTTTCAAATTTTCGCGCAACTCGAGTGTCATTCTTTTGATTGAGAAAGAGATAAGTCGAGACGCACGAAATCGTAGGGTGTGCAACCCATTCTTCTTCGGCACGGACTGCAGTGTTATCGCGAGGGATGAATTCTTCGGAATTTTTCCTTTCTTCGTATGCGCAGCTATAAATTTCCAAATTCGAACGAAGTTTTTTCCGAGAACGATTCCGGAAAATCCGCTGGCCTGTATCGTCCGCTCTTCATGTTTCGGTGCTCACTTGTTCGAACCTATCGCCATTCTGCCTCCTTCTTTTCTTCCACTTCCGCTTACCACTTGCGAGACTCGCTGCTGCGATCAAACTGCAAAATCGAGACGCAGAAATGTTTCCTTGGGCGCGTGCTTCGGTCTTTTTCATAAACGCCAGCCCCCAAACATCAAGATTAGAATTTCTAATCGTAACCGATACCTACCACAGACTTTTCGATCAATTGGAAAACAGTCTCGATTTGCGCATCTCCTGCCCCTCCCGTTTTCAAGAGATTAAAACGTTTTCGAACGTCAAAATTCTAGCTTTTCCTTTAACGTTTTTACATTAGAGTTGCGTTCGACAAAAAAAATCTTGGGAAATCGTAGCGTCCTGTACACTTTTGCGGGTACGAGGAAAGGAACCATTCAATTTGTTGTTGATTCACCGGTGCGTGGACAGGTCCCGCATTACGTTTTGGATATAAAAATTAGGTAGCTATCCAGTCTCAACATTCGGGTCACAAGGTAGGATTTTCGTTTCACAGTGTTTTGAATGCATGTCACTCGCAAAACGCATGCTCGAGGCTCACCGAAATCGGTTGTAGATCCGTGGGGTCGCCGCACGTTTGATCTTCCGTCGGAGACGAACGAGGAAGAGCGCTTCATGCAATACTCGACACTTCGAAAAACAACAACGAAGTCCGTTCGCGGATTTACGTTGATGTTCGAAGCCACTCACGCTTCCCCGTGTCTTCGTCGTGAGCCGTCTTGAACGACCTCCTTCAAACCGTACCAAATTCACAACACCCTTTTCGGTGTGCCTTAAGTGGTGGCTCGATTTGATGAGTCAGCGGAATCGGCCTAAACATCTTTCCACGGTCCCGACTCGCGTAAACATTTATAGCGTTCCTGAAGGTCTCGCGGAAAGATTACGAACAACTTTTGAGTTGCCCCGCACCCCTCGTGATGAGGCGACAGACGAGGTCTTTGCTAAAATTCCGAAGATGTCACATATGCAAAGACCTTTTCTTCCAAATTTCCCTTCGCGTCAGGACCAACGATCATTTTTCGGTGTCTCGCGCGGCGGCTCACAAGCGTGTAACGTCAAACTTGTTCCCGCACCGAAATTTCATCCCCGTCGTCATGCACAAACGCGGAGCGGTTACGTATTGGCATTTTCTCCTTCAGGCCTGGGGCGAAAAGAACTGTAGAATCAACACGGGCTGCGCGCGGTTCCGCCACAATCACGAGAGATTCCGGTGGCGATTTCCCAGAAAAATCGGAAAGTGGAACTACGCTTTCAGACTCTTTGGAAATTTTAGGCCGGCATCGCTCACTCTTAAGTCGATCACTCGATTCAGCCAGATTTGACATTCCCCCGTGCGGCCTTTCCCCTGACGATCGCCTTTTCGGCGTTGGCCAGAAGGAAGGGGTGTTTCCCTACGATTATGTCAACGACATATCCAAATTTGGGCGAAACGAGGTTACCGCCGCCCGAGGCCTTTTCAGTCGCCCACATGACACACCCGTGTCGGACTCGGAGTACAGCGCACGCGCAGGCGTGTGGGACGCGTTTTCCGTACAAAATTTGCTCAGTACGCGCGATTTTGTACTTGAAAATCCGACTCCTGCTAGAAAACGCGACACGATGGAAACATTTCGAAAATGTGTGTTTAAAGGTTAACGGTGCTCGATCCTCTGTTTTACTGCACCGCTCCCGGGCCTTCGTGGACGCCCATGTTGAAGCACCACCGGTGTTCGACTAGAGCTAGCTCACGGAATCACATGGTTTATCTTTTTCGAGCGGGGGATTCGGGAGGGACTCGTCCAAGTGTCGGCTCGGCACGCCGATGGCCAATCATCCCTTTGCGGGTGATCGCTTCCGACAGTGATAAGGAACTTATCTCGCCTACGTGGACGCGAATAATTTATGGCTTTTCAATGTCAGCTCCGCTTTCCCGGTGGGGCGACTCCGGTGGATGTCGAGAAACCGACATGCGAGCGGTTGAACGTGCAGAGGCAGCTGCGGAAGTCGATCGGGATACGTTTTGCGAGGTTGACCTCCGACTACCCTGACGCCATCCACGATCGCTTGGGGCATTTGCCACCTGTCCGGAAACAGCGCGTCGCCCCCCTGACTCGAAGCGGGGCAAGTCAAGTGCCTGCCGACGCTGCTGCCTAAGCGTCATTACGCTCGTTCCGTTCGAAATTTACTTCAGGCCCTCGAGTGGGAGTGCAACTCCCGAAATTCATCGCGTTCTCTCTTTTTCACAACGACCTTGCTTGCCCACGTACATGGACCTGACAACGCGCCCGTCGACAGCGCGCGTCCATCCGATTCGAAGATTAAATTTTATAAATTGATGAGAACAAGTTCGATTTACGCGGAATCGATGGAGGACGTGCGCAAATTCACCGGCGCATTTTATCGTCGTGAACAAGTGGAAGGGAGGTGTTGGAAGCCAGACGTCTCTATTGCCGATCCCGCCTTCGTGCGTAGTCCATCACGGTGAACGGCGATCTCATGACCATCGAGTTGCCGAAAAACGGAAGTGGAGTCACCAAAAGCCATCTATTTGGGATTTTGCATATAGAAATTTGTAAACATAGAATTACGATTTTTTTTATAATACTGTCAAAAACATCTTTGTGATCTTCGCCTTCTTTACATGGAATACGCGATTCATTCATTTCTTTCTACTTCACGAATGTGTTCGCTGAGAGAATCCGGCACCATCCTGCGTCGATACGTCCTTGTTCCCCCCCAAAAGCGGCATTTTGGCGTGACACCCCGCATAAAAAAGTATTAGGTCTGTTAAGGACGAATGCGGAAAGTTGAATCCCGCGCTCGGCTACGTAGGTTTACGTCCCAAAATGTACTACCATCGAAACCCGATGCTCGCGGGCGTGTTCTTCGCGGGCGAAGGAGTACAACGTCGATCGTCAAACGCTTATGAATTTCAAAATTTTTGGACTGTTTAATTTCGAAACGAAAATAGAATCGACTCTCATCCACAATCTCATGTCAATTATTCTTGTTCAAAACAAGCGTTCTTTGTCGTGTCCGACGAACAAACGCTATTGGATCGATAAATTTTTAAAAGTCTGCCATGGGCCATTTCCGCACTGTGCACGCGTCCGTCCGTTCTTCTTCAGCGTGCACGCTTTTAAACTATGTTTTTTATGAGTAGGCACTTTAGTAGTAGGGAGTTTATAGATGAGTCAACTTTCAAATAGTAGTAGGGGGAGAAAAAAAGCGTTTGCAATCACAATTCAAGACGGGGCGGGTGAGATCTCAACACGTCTTCGTCCTCGCTCTTTCGCCATGGAAGAGCTCGCTTAGACCGAAGCAACAGCGTGTTGATGCGTGGAAGAAGCGGTGATGTGCCTGTGCCAGCCTCCTCGCGAGCGCCGCCGCCGATCTCGCCAATCATCGCCCACAATAGCAGTCTTCAGCGCCCCTACTACGCTGAAGCCTATCGCACGATCTTCCAATCGCACGAAGCGAGTCGGCCGTTGATTGTGCGTGTGGCTGCCCCGACCGCTGCCGCGAGGAGAAGAAATAGAACCATCAGATGACGGAAACCGTGTGAATGAAAAGGATGTGAACAAAAGGAAAAAACTCTTCACGAATCTCGCGATTGCATGTCACGAGGAAAGTGCTATGATCTGATGGTTTCCGGTGAAGTGATTTCCTATCTGTGCTGTGAGTGCCAAACTAGAGTCGTTTATTTACGTGCGCTATTTGCATCATCCAGAAACTTTGAACGCTCCTTGCGTTTCCTTCAGCATGGGGTGACCACCTCCCTTTATCATAACAATGGATAAGCAATCACCATCATCCCACATCTCATACCGAGACGAAAGGATCGGTTAAAAGGAGACCTCTGAAGCGAACGACTTTTAATTCTCACGCGTGCACGCTGAATGTTAGCACTCCTCCGAAGCTCTCGGCTACCTCCTTCAAGATCCGTTGACGTGACGGCAACTGCCGACAACGCGTCTCTCGGTTCGTCAAACATCAGTCTCTTCGGCCGCCGTTCAGAAAACAACCTCCAGCGTACTCTGCAGCTCGTAGTGATAGTGACCGTGACTAATTTTGTTTCATCTCCAGGCCTGACGCAATGGCCTATGCTACGTCAGCGCCAATCTCGAGTTGAACTTGTTTTACAACGTTTCATTCAACGACGGTTCTCTTCTCGGACTCGATCGATCGCTCTCTGCTAAGCTTTCTTCCTAGACTTGCTATTACATTGGGCCGCGCCGAAGGACGTGCCTCTGTCTTCCACCGCTGTCGAAAGACGTGCAGAGTCACCGAGACATTCGTCGACTCGCTGCCTTGTCTTTGTCTTACAGACAACAACAAACAACCGTTTGCCGAAGTGAAGGTTGCGGTGCGGAGAAAGAAGTGCTGCCTTTTTTCGAACACGCGCACGAGTCGCCACCGCGCCGAAGTGAAGTGCATGAGTGTAAAAGAGCGGAACTTTCAACAAACAAAAACACCTTCGAGCTATTTCGGGCATGTCGGTGGCTACGCCGCATCAAGAAATATTTTTAAGATCCTCCCGCTACGGGTTTCACCCCCTTCCACTTGGCCGTCAGCGGCAACACCCGCCGTGGTGCTACGCTCTTGCAAGCAATGTGGTGTGGTGTGCAAACTTTTGTTGACGTTGCGTGAAATCGAGAAGGATGACGCCGCTGGAACACGACGGACATTTCGAAGCAATATTCCTCCCGGTTTAGACTGCTTACCTCGAACACCGGTGCTGACGCAATAGAAGACCTCAACGGTTTACTCTGAGCCAACACCGTTGCAAGCGGCGAAATCTCAGAGATTACCGTCTCAAAAAGTGGAGTGCACTATCAAGAAAGGAGATTTGAATACATCTGAAAAGAAAGCGGAACATAATTCGGAAAGAAATCCATGAAATGGCGGATTCTCTGTGTAATTTGATTTTCATTTGATTTCAATAAATTAAAAACATTCTTTCATGTACTGTTTTTCATTGTTTTTCCTGAACTGCCTTGTAGGGATTTTCCTTTTTTTCCCCATTATGAAAGTCTTTCAGCGGGGAGCGAGCGTCAGGCTCTCGGTTCGAAAGAGAGAGAGAGAGAGAGAGAGAGAGAGAGAGACGCGCGGCTGGCGCGCGCGTATAAACTTATATAAAGTGCATTCAAAATGCGCGCGCCGCCGCCTCCTTCTTCCCCGACGTCGCTCATAGAGCGCGCCACCGCCGCCTCCTCTCGTTCCCCGAGTCGCTCACAGAGAGCGCCGCGCGCGTATTATCTCTATGCTCACGAGCGCTAATGAGTGCGGTCGCGATAAAAGCGCCAGCGCGCGGCGCCGCCGCTATCTTATCAACCGCAACATCCCGGCATCGCCGCCGCCGTTGCCGTCCGGCCCCCTGCTCCGCGTAATATCAGGACCTCCTAACCAGACAGCTCCGCTCGAGATGTCGCCGTAGCTCAGAGCCAAAGTGCTGGGCAACCCCCCCCCTTCTTAAGCACGCAGGAAACGGGACTGCGGCTGGTTCGAATCCACCCCTCGGACGGCAGGCATTTTGAAACACTCACACACGCACGTGACGCACTTCGCCCCAGAGCGCGCGCACCACACACACATACACATACGCTTCACAATTCGCCGGCAGAGCGCGCGCATCTCCACGTCACCCCCCCCCACGCCGTCATCTTCTATGACGTCATGGGCCGCTGAGGACCATTGCGGGTCTGGATCAGGAAGTTGATAAGATAAGAGCATCTCCACGTCACCGGCCAC